ACACAGTTAGTTGCTCAGTAAATGGCAGCTAAGAATTTTTAGATCTTGGAAGCTTTTGTTTCCAGTTTGTATAACCAATGTGTTTCAATGTATAGCCCTGTGAGATCATTAACATTTCTTAAAATTAATTTCCTGTAATTATGTCTCCCTAGACTTGCCCAAGTGTTGTACCTTACAACGTTGTAGAAATCCTCTCAGTGGCAAATAGAGCATAAGAGTTGGGAGTGGAATACCTGAGTTTCAGTCTTATTGTTACTCCCCCTCGTGTTGTGCCTTCAGTAACATCATCTAACCTCATCATGTCTAGTTTATTCTTTTGGTATAAAGGGAGTTAGTATGCCCCTGAAGGTGAGTGAGCATCATCTGAGATGAGATGTGGGAAAGTGTTTTGAAAAACATAAAGGTGGTATAATGAGGTGATGAAGCAAATCTCCTCTAATAACTTGTACTGTGCAGTAGTTAGCCTAGTTTGAATTACTAGCTACACAGCAGGAATATGTTATTTAAAATATCTCTGTAAATCATGCTTTTCAGACTTGTTTTCTAGTAAGGTTTGAATTATAGAGTTCTTACTAGGTATAGAAGCCCCAGGTGTCAAGGTTTGGGTATTTCCACACCCCTCCTCTCCCTCATTCCATCTCGCCTCCCTCGGGACACCAACCAGCCACATTTTTCTCTACCACCTTTTCTCTTCGTTCCGGTCCAGAATTTAATTTAGGGTGTCAGGATAAGAAGAGTAGTATTATCATCACTATTTTGGGGCACATTCTCTTCTGGTTTTAAATTTGTCTTTCAACTGATGTATATCAACTTTTCTGGCTCTTAGTAGGAGAGTTCTATCTAGACCCTAAACATTTCCCCTTGTCTGCAGAGGTGTGTTATTTCTAAACAGTTTGAAGCCCAAGTGGCATAGAGAGAAGGGAGTCCTCTTTTTTGTTTTAAGAATAATTATTGGGAGGAAAATACTTGAGGTGCTCCTTGCTGGTAGAGACACTTTGTGGGCTTGCGAATGCCATAATGATTAGTTTACCATTTCATTTACGTAGCAGCCCTTTGAGATAATTATTGAAATTATGCCCATTTTAAGGATAAACTGTTGAGAAATAAGGCACTGATTTGCTAGAAAGTGGGGAAATTGTAGCTTGAATGTGGGCATTTTAACGTCAGATTCATTATCTTCTACACCACGTTACCCAACAAAAGCATATTGTGTAGATCTGATTTGCTCATTTTTGATGTTTTAAAAGATGTAAAGGCCAGGAGCAGTAGGAAAACTAAACAACAACAACAACAGAAACCTTAGAGAGAGAAAAGCAGAGCATCACTCTCCCCTCCCCACCAAATCTTGGTTTGATTTTGGGAGAATTGCGAAAATAAAGAGGGGAGGATCTCATGGAAGTTTTACATTTTCTCGGGCTTTTGGAAATTGGTGAGGTTTGCTTTTTAACTATTTGAACGGAGTCTGATGTGAAGAGAAGGTTTTGTTTCAGTTCCTTTCCTTGTCTCATGCTCTAGTGTTTCTGATGGCTGGAGCTCTCTGGGGACTTGAGTTGCATCTGGGTCTGGAGTGATCCATCCTTAGCTCATTTGGCATGACCAGTCAGCATCAACATGGGGGCCCTACGATGTGGATTAGACTTCCCCAGCATGCAGGAGAGTGTTTGGACCCTGATCACAATCCTCCCCCACCCACACCCTTGCACTCCACATTCATGTAGAAGCACACACATGTCCTGCTGAGATTTTGTAGACAGAGAATAGAGGCTGGGAATGGCTCGTGTATTAGAGATCAAGTTTTTCAAGATAAACTCTGGGGGAGCAGTGGTTATGCCTGATGGAGCATGGGAAGATACCGACAGCCCCCAGTCTATTCCTTGTTCTTCTCCTCCTTAGCTCCTTCTCATTCCGTCTGCATCGTTAGCTCCGTCTCATTCCGTCCACACCGTTCTTCTCACCCTCAATTAGGAAACAACCTTTTCTGTCCTCTTGGAGGTAGACTTGGGAGAATGTCTGCTGTAGTTAGAAAAGTGCCTCTGTCCTCGTTGCTCTGTAGTTCTCAGCATGAAGTCACTTTCTTTGTGATTGAAACACACAAGGAGGTGGACCACTATCTCACTAGTCAGGGGCACAATCCTTGAAAAGAGCTGAGAGGAAAAGTCCTCTGAACAGTAAAAAGAAATCTCAGAAGGCTCTATACCAGAACTCACACACCTTCTTAGAGGCAGTTAATCCCCATCCCTCAACTTTGAACAAAGTTTTAATCAGGAGCCTCGTTTAATCCAGAGCCACCTGGGTATGAGGAGCACAAGGGGCTGCTGGGAATAGTCACTTTTTCAGCTGAGAAATGATCCCGATCCAGAGAAAACCAGGAGAACTGAAAGTGCGCACATGAGAACCAGATGCAGAGTTCTGCCACTTCTTTCCCAAGGGGCAATAGTTGTACCTCCCTCATCAGGGGCACTGCTGATTCCACGCTCATCTCTCCATCTGAGGAGAGGAGCATAATGAGGCCCGGTAATGTGGCCGACTTGTGGGGGCTGTCGGGCGTACTTTTGAAGGAGACAGTACCAATGTCAGCCTCAAACCACATCTACGGAATCAGTCACAGAATTTTATATAGAGCCTTCCCCTTTCTATTTTATGGCTAACCTTTTTTACCTCGTTAGATTGCTGATTTTGATGTAATGTTATCATTTGATATCACATAAATAACAAATCCTAAGATTTCCCACATACCTGAAATAAATTAGTTGTGAAGTATCTGAAGAGAAAACGCCTTTTTTTGAAGGGGGGTGGTGTAAGGAAAGCTACCATAATAGTGTGAAAAGCTTGATTTAGAGATGTTTCTTGTGCTATTGCTATTTTCTATTGCTATTATTTACTTTTTTTTTCCATTGCTATTATTTGAAAATAGAATCTGCTGCTTATGGTAAGGCCTCTGCTTGTAATCTTATTTTCTCAGGGTCAAAGCATGTTCTTATATGCTTGCTAGTTGTTTTTGTAGGAGAAGAGAAAGTCAAGAAAAAAAAAACAGTCTGATACTGGACAGACTTAAAATGGCCACCTGGGGCTGGCCCCGTGGTTTAGCGGTTAAGTGCACGCGCTCTGCTGCTGGCAGCCTGGTTTCAGATCCCGGATCCCGGGCGTGCACCGACGCACCGCTTCTCTGGCCATGCTGAGGCCGCGTCCCACATACAGCAACTAGAAGGATGTGCAGCTATGACATACAACTATCTACTGGGGCTTTGGGGGGGGGATAAATAAATAAATAAAATTATTAAAAAAAACCAAAATGGCCACCTGTTGGCACAAGCAGTTAAGTGCGTGCACTCCGCTGCGGCTGCCCGGGGTTCCCCGGTTCGGATCCCGGGTGCGCACTGACGCACCGCTCGTCAAGCCATGCTGTGGCAGCGTCCCATATAAAGTGGAGGAAGATGGGCACAGATGTTAGCCCGGGGCTGGTCTTCCTCAGCAAAAAAAAAAAAGAGGAGGATTGGCAGATGTTAGCACAGGGCTAATCTCCTCACACACACACAAAAAAAGGCCACCTATTGCCCAAGTTGCCTTCACTTCAGATATTTTCCATCTAGCAAATAACTGAGGATCTCAACTACAGAGGGGAAAATGAGAAACAGGCAAGACATTACTGGAGGACCGGCTGCCACCCTTACCTGGGTGTGCCCAGGTTGCTGCACACCTGGCTGCCTTTCCCCTTTGAGGCCGGCACATATAGCACATACCATGCCTAGCCCCTCCTCAGGCGTTCAGTTCACTACGTGCCAGCCTTGTGCTCGGAACTGAACGAACCAGAGGCCCCTGAGATAAAGCATCATCATCCCTGCTGTCAAGAAGCCAGTAGTCTAGTTGGAAGTAATAAGAGGAATACATAAAACAACAGCAAGAATGAAAGATTATGATTAGTTCCTGAACTCTGTGGTCCAGACCATAAATGTGTCAAGTTTTGAGGAAAGGGAGACCTGTGAGAACTGGAATGGTTGGAAATGTTTCCTAGAAGGAAAGATGTGTTTTGACCTGAGCCTTGAAAGATATGGTGAGATGGCCAAGGAGACTCTGGGGAGGTAGGATGGCAGCCACCAGGTCAGCCAGGCCCAGTACATTCTTCTGGCTAGCAGAGTGTGCACACCTGGTGGTATCTTTGTGAAATGGTGAGATCATCCTGAGGTGCAGCGTCTGCTAGAGAGGGAGTGATGGGAAATAGAGAAGGAGGTGGGAAGAATGGAGCCGGGCAGTGGAGGGCATGAGCTTGTTCTGACACAGCAGATAATAGAGACCCATTGAAAATTTGGTGTGTATATGCACACAGATATATTTTTCTTTTGCTTTGTTTATTTAAAATGTTCACCTTCCAAGGGCCTCTTTTGGATTTTGATACAACTGGATAAAAAGAAGAGACGTTCAGGGTGTTCAAATTAGACTGTTCGCATATTTTTTTCCTTTATCCTTTCTTTTCAGTAAGTCACACCCTTTTATTCAACACCCTCCCCATCACCCTAATAAAACCACCACTTGGTGGTAGGTCCCCTTTTTTCATTTTGAGCCAACCTTAGGAACTGACCCAGACCAGCAGGTGGCAGACCTATTTTTACATTTACAGCAGTCAGAAAATCCTCAGAGGTATTTTGCCATGCATCTGCAAAAAATTGTATGGATGGCAGCAGTAGCTCTGAAATTCTTTATGAAAACTGAGTTTCTTTTTCTCTAAACTCTCAGCTTCTATGCTCATTTGTAAATTATGTGTAGCTTCCATGATTAAACAAACCTTTGAAGAGTGATCAGTTACCGTCTCTTAAGTAAACTTTTCTAAGGTTGTTAAGATAAATGCTCTCCTTGGACTGAATGAGCACACATGTTTTTGAGTGTTTTGGTTTGAGTAGGAGAGTGCTGCATGAACAGGCATGTGTGAACTCTGGGCAGTAGCTCTGAGCCTGTGTGTGCCCTGCTGGATGATCTGTTTCCACCTTCTGCTCACTCGTTTCTAGCCTAAACCCACCAAGGGACGAATGCGCATCCACTGTCTGGAGAATGTGGACAAGGCCCTTCAGTTCCTGAAGGAGCAGAGAGTCCATCTTGAGAACATGGGATCCCACGACATCGTGGATGGGAACCACCGGCTGACCCTTGGGCTCATCTGGACCATCATCCTGCGCTTCCAGGTAAGGGGCTTGGCCTGGGGATTAGGCCTTCCTCCCAGGTACAAGCATCCTTGTGTAACTGGCCTCCTCATTCCAGAGGAACCAGGAAGACTAGGTTGAAGTGAATTTCAGAGTCAGGTGTGTGGAGTGGTGTGTCACATCCGGCTGCCGTGTAGGAATGTGGCAGTGACCACATCCTCCTGCAGTTTTGCTGGCCCCTGAAAGTCTGGGCTCTCCTGGCAGATAAAGGGGTTTCTAGGCTACATCCCCACCCACCACTTAACTGGTACCTACTCTAAACGTCTGGTCTCTGCCTTTCGGCTTTCAGGAGCAAAGGTAAAAGGATGTGGTTGATGCTAGGTTACTATCACTAGACTGTCTGGACTTCACCAGGTTGTGGCTTGTATCGTAGAATATTTTTAGGAGAAGCCGTTTACTATTATGACACGTATGTGCGCTCCGTTTTCATCTTCTCCTCATTCTCCTATGGATATGAAGAAGCAGTTTTTAGGGGGAAAATGCAAAAGCTTTATGGTTGTTTGAATCAATTATGATTTTATGGGTTTGTTATCCTCGAGGGGAAGGTTCTAAATATCAAAGTACCCTAAGCTGGAAGGAACTCTCAAGGTCGTTTTGTCCCGTTCCTTCTCTCTATGAGGAAGGGGAGGGACCTTGCCCGGGATCACACAGCCAGTCATGCTGCAGTGCCTGCTTCTGACTGCTTAGGAGAGAGCTCAGCATTTCATGACTGGGAAGCACCTCCAGCCTGATTACTTTCTCCAAGCACGTGCTTCACGTTCATGTGTTTCAATTAAAATTTGAAATGCAAGGAACACTTCCTACTATAGCGTCAGGTTACTCTGCAAACAAATGTCCTAACAGTCCCTTCTCTTTGGTGGCTGTGTTCTCTGTGCCTTTCCTTCCTATTCTGCCTTTTTGATGAAGTCTGATTTTTCTGGGTAAATAAAAATCCAACCAAAAAATGGCAAAAACAGAAATCAAATTATGGCTCTCTGAGTTTTCTTATTAAAACTCTGAAATCTGCCTGGCATTGGGCTTAAGTTTACAGTGTTCTGGGGGGGTGGGGGGGTGGAGTAGGGATGGGGCTAAAACAGAGCGATACAAAGAAACGGCTCCCTGAATGGGGCCTGATGACTGACTCTCTTGGGAACGCTTTTTACTAATTCAGATTCCCTGGTCCCAGCCCCAGTGAATCAGATTAAGTAGGACTGAGGGAGGGAACCACTGTAGAGATGACATCATTAATGGAGTTAATTACAACAATCAAGGACTTTATTTTGCAGATAGAACTCTTACGTAGGTTTCTGTCATTTAGTTCCTGGATGATTTGAAATTGGAGTGAATACTATTAAATCACTAATTATTGCTATTGGGTCCTTGGCCAGCAGAGGTGAAATTAGCAGGACACTCTTTGAGCCTCACCTCCATTTTGTAGAGTAAAAAAAGCTCTATTTCTATTGCCTTGGGCCTGTAGTAATTAGAGCGTGGTAGGGCATCCTGATGGTGGCCTCTCTTGACAGCAGCTCAGTGCCCACATTAGTGAGCTGGCACATGCAGCCCTTTCCAGGATTCTCAGCATGAATTGGGTTGAGTCATTGACTAATTAGCTTCCTACCAGCTTGCCTTTTTCTGTACTTGAACCGTAAAGACTGATAGGTACTTTCTCCTTTTCCTTTAAGGCAAGAACGTAGGCTGCTGATGTCACTGCAAGGCCTGCAGTGTTGGTGTCTTACATGACCCAGCATTCTCCAGCAGCTTTATTAACTCATCACCCGTTCCATAAACATGTATTGATTCTGCATCAGCCGAGGCCTAGCTCACGTTCTGCCTCCTCTGTGAAGCTTTCCCATGTGTCTACAGAGATCTCTCTTTCCCCCAGCTCCTGAATATTATACAGCCTTGTCTTACGTTCCCAGAATGCACATGCGCGTGTGTGCGTCCATGTGTGTGTCCATGTCCCCAGAGCTCCCAGGATGTGGCCTGCCCTGTATGTGCATAGCAGGTATCCATTAAATACTGATGACACAGGTTTTATGCTGCTGTTCCTTTAGAAGAGAGTAAAAGATGGCGTGAGAAGCTGGAATGAAAGTCTTTGAGTTTGCCTTGTGAAAATAAAGAGTTGTCTTCATTTCAGAAGGGTAGACTCTGTTTCTAAATGCACAAGTCTGGAAATAGACTCCCCTCACACAGATGTGTAAGAAAGCTGATGGGGGTTAATGTGTAAAATTCCACCTGCCTTTTCTGGTGAGTCAGTCTGACCCCTTGAATGAGGGTTAGCCTTTCACATTTACTTTCTGCACGTGAGCTAATGAGCCTAGTAATAGAGTTGGAGTTTATGCAAACTCAGGCTTCCCATACTTAGCACAGTTAAAAATGGAGAATTTTTTTTAGAAGTTTAATTATTTCAATTTCCAGGTGTTTTTCCTAGTTGAAAATTTCTCTCTCTCTCTTTTTTTTTTTTTTGTGAGGAAGACCAGCCCTGAGCTAACATCCAATGCCAATCCTCTTCTTTTTGCTGAGGAAGATTGGCCCTGGGCTAACATCTGTGCCCATCTTCCTCCACTTTATATGGGACGCTGCCATCGCATGGCTTGATAAGTGGTGCGTTGGTGCATGCCCGGGATCCGAACCTGCAAACCCCAGGCCACCACAGCAGAGAGCACACACTTAACTGCTGCGCCACGGGGCCGGCCCCAAAAATTTCTCTCTTTTAATCTTACATTTATATGTTTTATCCTCCTTTTATCTCTTTTTCAAAAAGAATTCTGAGGCGTGTTTCTAATCAAATGGAAAGACCTTTGACAGGGGCTGGGGCAGGGGGGTTGGAATGGTTCGAGCTGAAAAATGATGGGTGACCTCCTAGGCCAGCATCATTTACCCCCAACCTTCATCCCATATTTTATTATTATAGGCAAGAAACTAAAGACAAAAGGATATTTAGAGCATTTGTCTAAAGTCACACAACTGGTAGGCAGCCCCTAATCCAAAGAGGTAACATTTATGGGTCCTTTCTGTGAGCTCAGCACTTCATTTTCTTTATTCATTTAAGTACACAGCAGCGCGATGAGATAGCCACAGTTGTTACATCCTTTCCTCACATGGGAAGCTGAGGGATCTGCCTAGGGACTACAGTAGATGGTGGAGCCTGGATTTGGATTCAGATGCAGGTAGACTGACTTTGGTGCCAGTAGGCCAGGCTCTGTGTATAATGTTGAAAATATGCTGCCTGTGAGTGGGTTATGAATGCAGACTCGCTCAGTCTGTTGGAGTTGCTATAATAAAATGTTAAAACAATCACAGACTGGGTAGCTTATGAACAATATAAATCTATTTCTCACAGTTTTGGAGGCTGTAAGTCTGAGATCAAGGTGCTGGCGTGGTCAGGGTGAGGGTCACAAACTTCTGGTTGTATCCTCAGATGGTGGAAGGTGCTAGGGATTTCTCTGGAGCCTCTTTTATAAGGCACTAATCCCATTCATGAGGGTTCCACCCTCATGACCTAATCATCTCTCAAAGGATCCACCTACAAATACCATCATGACTGGGGGTTAGGATTTCAACATAAGAATTTGGAGGGGATACAAACATTGAGACCAGAGCACAGACCCTGGAAGCGCAGCATTTAAGTGCACACTTTCTTTGAGAGTTTGGGTCAGCTTTCAGGCAACAGTGCATACGCTGTCCTCATCTATGAAGGACACACCCTGGTGTGAATAGTGTTTGGTTATGAAAAACTGAACTTCATATTTTTCCTGGAGTCTAATGAGGTTCAAGGTGTAACATATGAACCACTGTTCTAGCTTATAGTCGGAAAGATGGGGTATCTTAGGGGTAGAAATGACTCCTAATAGGTGCTGGGAAGTCGTGCAGGTAACTAGTCTTCACTTCCATCTTATCTGTGGGCAAAGTGGAAGACCTAGTTCGTTGGTGTTTCTCTGAGGTGAAGGCTGGATTCAGAAGGGAGTTTTCATTGACACTCAGAGTAGGTAGTCCACAGGGCTGGGCTTTGATCTAAAGTATACTCTTTATGTATATACAGACCTATTATTCATTCTGTGGCTCTTGTTAGGCAGCTGACCCATCTATTTGTCTAATATTTCTTTATAAATCTTAGATCCAGGATATCAGTGTGGAAACTGAAGACAACAAAGAGAAGAAATCTGCCAAGGATGCATTGCTGTTGTGGTGCCAGATGAAGACAGCTGGGTGAGTGTGAACTCGGAGGGCGTCAGGGCCCACTTCTCCCAGGACTGAGTTCCACTGTAGTCATCACGTGCAAGGTGTTGACAAGTACCTCTTCCACTGCCTCCATTGAGAAGTCTTATTAACTCGTAAGCAGTTGATAGGCTGACATTTCAGCTAGCTCTCAGAACGGAAGGAGATCTGATTTATGTTCTGGACCTGTCATCTCTGCGCTCAGTTTCCCTCTCTTTATTAAGGAAACTCAAGAGAGCAGTGGATCTTGAATTTTAAAAGCCTGAAACCATGTTTAGGAATCACATCCATGATATTTAAAAAACGGTTGTGGGTTTTCTCCTCCCTTTAATTTGTGGTGCTTTGGGGAGCTTCATGCAGTAAACTCAAGAGTAATCTTTACACATTATCTGTCTCGGTTTTCCTTCCTTTTATTCTTTCATTGAAATTTTAGTGAAGATATTTTTTAGAGAACTGCATCTTTTTTTTTTTTTTTTTTTTTTGGTGAGGAAGATTAGCCCTGAACTAACATCTGTTGCCAATCCTCCTCTTTTTGCTGAGGAAGATTGGCCCTGGGCTAACATCATGCCCATCTTCCTCTATAATATGTGAGATGCCTGCTGCAGCATGACTTGATAGGCAGTGTGTGGGGCCACGCCCGGATTCCGAACCTGCGAACCCCAGGCCACCGAAGCAGAGCGCGTGAACTTAACCACTGCGCCGGCCTGAGAACTGCATCTTTTTTGTTGCTGACGCAAGTTGTCAGGGTGCATAGGTGCTTACGAAGAAGTGATGTTGTACCAGGTTAATTAGAGGGTTACTGTTGGAGCTACTTAAAGGACAAATGTAACTGTAGTGGATGTGATAAGTCAGTGATGAGTATGGAAACCACAAGAGCATATAGCCTAATATGGGGATCAGGTTATGAATGATCCTTTAATCACCACAGATCCAAAGTTGTTAATAATCAATATGGTGCTGAATAGCTGATTGATTAGGGGTAAGTTTCAAACATAGGGCAATTTTTCAGGGAGATAATTTATAAAGCTTTATCCAGTTAAGTGATATAAGGAGGAAAGAAAGCTGAGTGTCACATGTAGGTAATCCTGGCATCTTCCTCTCCCAAAGTAATGTGCAAATTCGGAGCTCAGTGACTACAGGGTCCTGATATCTTTGTTGGTGGAGTAGAAAGCCAGTGGAGGCAAAAAGTTCTCAGAGGTATCTAGGTTTTGGTTGCTTTTTCCTCACTAAGAGTGGTGTTTTAAATCTAGGACACAGTTCACATCTTTTGTCAGATTGAATTACCAAGAAAGAAAAGCCGTGTGCTTGTATATTTTATTTTTATTTTATAGCAAGCTGAAGTTGAGGTGAAATTTGCTCTGACTTGATTGTCCTTATTGATATTCACGCCTCAGAGTTTTACAGTGCTTGCATACTTTTTTTTTTAAACACTGCATTTAGCAAAAGTATAACCCTTTATTTGGTAATTCTGTTGCTTTTCTCCCATGCTTTGTCCTTGGCAGGTACCCCAACGTCAACATTCACAATTTCACCACGAGCTGGAGGGACGGCATGGCCTTCAATGCACTGATACACAAACACCGGTAAGTCCTGAGAAGTCAGGCTAACAATTTTGGGATAGGATGTTGACATTCTTCTGTAGCAGATCTGGGTGACTTTTGGTCTCTTACCCGTTGCGTTAGATGTTGCACCATGGTGGAACTTCCTGCATTCCACGGGAGGAAAATGTGAGAGAATATGTAAATTCTCCCAAACAAAATAAACAAGTCCACCCAATGTCTTCACTTCTCTTAATAAACTTTGAAATGTTTTTTCAAAAATCAGATTTCGTTGTTTGATGATTAATATTGTAGAGTTTTACTTCGCTAAGCGGTGATTTTAACACGTGTGGAGTTTAACACGTGTGGAGTAATAATCATGTCTTACTGGTCACATGATTTGTTTTCAAGCCATGGTTTTTGTTGTGTTCACCATTGTTCTACATAGGCCTGACCTGATAGATTTTGACAAACTAAAGAAATCCAATGCACACTACAATCTGCAGAATGCATTTAACCTGGCAGAGCAGCACCTTGGCCTCACTAAACTACTGGACCCTGAAGGTAAGGACTCGAGGGATAAAGAGTGGGACCTTTATCATTGAGGGGTTATATAAAATCTACTTTTTGTCAGGTAGTTTTCTGTGTACATTGTGCTATGGGAATTGTCAAAGGAAGTGGAGCTTAATTTTGGTGTAGGAATTACTTCAGGATTTGTGCAAAGGATTACATTTGAAAAGGCCTTGAAAGATGAGTATGATTCAAACACGTTCTGAAGGAGAGGGAATGCTAGGCAGAGGGACTTACGTGAGCAAAGGTGAGGAACCAGGAGAAAGGAAGGTGTGTTTGGGGACTAAAGGTTCATTGGGAATGGTATTCAGAGTAATAATAGGAAACATCACTGGAACCGTGGATGGGGGCCCAACAGGTTAAAAGTTTTAGAGGTTATTCAGCAGGCAGTGGGGAGTCAATGAAAGTTCTTAGCAGCTGCACTCAAGGAAGAGAACCTGGCAGAGGCTCTCAGTGAGTGCTTGTTGACTGACATTCATCCCAAGGTGGCAAGCAGCATGGTTTGGAATGGGTGGAAACTGGGAACAAGGGCCTTGTTAGAGAAGGTTGTGCAGTGTTTTCTTATGAGCAGGTAAGAGCTCAAATGAGGAACGTGCATCAGGAAAGTGAATGTGTGGGTAGAAGAAGGAATAACGTAGTCCCCTCTTAGTGCTGGCTGCTTGTGGGCACAGCATCCTGTTCTCTACGTGGAACCGATCTCTACTCTGTGGGTCGCACAGGACCCCAAAGACTGACTGCAGGTGACATGGAGCTGACCTGTGTGGGGCAGTCCTGCAGATGTAGCTCCCTTGCTTAACAAAATCCTAATTCTAGGCTTCATGTTAGCATGAGCTGTCATAGGCACTTATTCTAATTTTGAGAAGCATTTAAAATATAAGAGGATTTGTGTGTAATGCTGGAGCTTTTTAAACCCTTTCAGCTGTGAGTAGATATTAGAGAGAAAACTGTGAGTGAAAGTTTAAAGTTCTATAAATATAGAACAGGAAGTTGTAACTCCTCAAGGGCAGATCGAGGTCGTGAGGCTGCCAGGCAGGCTTCTTGCTCTTTTCCAGTGCATCAGATTCACCGATAGGTTCACCACAGGAAGCTGAGATGAAATTATCTTTGTGCTAACCCATTAAATGATTCCTTAGTATAAACAGAAAACTAAAATTCCCTGGGCTGTGATAAACCCTCTTACTCAACCCCTACCTCACTGTGGGAAGGCATCCTGCCGCAGCCCTAGCTCTTCCGCTGTCATAAAGAACCTTTTTTTTCTATCACTATGACAAATTTTTTAAATAACTTGCTCATTAGTTAATCTTTCTAGTCACTACGCAGTATGAAAAGTGGTTAGTGTTCCCGGATTCAAGACAAGGAACTAAAAAAGGCAGTGATGGGGCCGGCCCCGTGGCTTAGCGGTTAAGTGTGCACACTCCGCTGCTGGCGGCCCGGGTTCGGATCCCGGGTGTGCACCGACGCACCGCTTCTCCAGCCATGCTGTCGCCACGTCCCACATACAGCAACTAGAAGGATGTGCAGCTATGACATACAACTATCTACTGGGGCTTTGGGGGAAAAAATAAATAAATAAAATTAAAAA